CCTGATCAGCGGAAGGAGTCTATTATTATACCAGTTCACAAGAAGGGTGATAAAACTGACTGTAGTAATTATCGGGGGATATCACTGCTCTCAACTTCATATAAAATTTTGTCCAATATTCTTCTTACAAGGTTAAGTCTATATATAGATGAAATTATTGGGGATCATCAGTGTGGGTTTCGACGTAACAGATCAACTACAGATCAGATCTTTTGCATTCGTCAGATATTGGAGAAAAATGAGAATACGATGAGACAGTACACCAGCTATTCATAGACCTCAAGAAAGCCTATGATTCAGTTAGGAGGGAAGTATTGTACAATATTCTGCTAGAATTTGGGACATTCATGAAACTACTTAGGTTGATTGAAATATGTTTAAACGGAACGTATGGTAAAATCCGTGTAGGTAAACATTTGTCTGAAAAATTTCCTATTCAGAATGATCTAAAACAAGGAGATCTTTATCGCCACTCCTTTTCAACTTTGTTTTAGAATATGCCATTAGGAAGGTCCAGGAAACCCAGTTGTAACTGTAATTAAACGGGACACATCAGCCGTTGGTCTATGCTGATGATGTGAATCTACTGGATAATAATATAGGTACCATAAAGAAAAACACAAACTTTAATTTACGCAAGTAAGGAGGTTGGTTTAAAAGTAAACACAGAGAAAACTAAGTATATGTTGTCTCGTCACCAAAATGCAGGGCAAAATCATGACATAAAGATAGGAAACAAAGGTTTTGAAAATTAGAATATACAAAACTATAGTTTTGCCTGTGGTTCTGTATGAGTGTGAAACTTGGTCTCTGACATTAAAGGAGGAACATAGTCCGAGCGTGTTTGAGAACATGGTGTTGATAATATTTGAAACGAAGAGAAATGAAGTGGCATGAGATTGATTAAAAATGCATAATGAGGGGCTTCATAACTTGTACCCTTCTCCAAGCATAATTAGAATGGTCAAGTGAAGGCGGATGAGGTGGGCAGGTCATGTAGCATGAATGGAGAGACGAGGATTGCATATAGGGTATTGGTGGAAAAGCCAGAAGGAGATAGACCACAGGGAAGACCAAGGCATAGGTGGATGGACAACATTAAAATGGATCTTAGAGAGATAAGATGGGATAGTATGGACTGGATTGATCTGACTTAGGATAGGGACTAGTGGAGGGCTCTTGTGAACACGGTGATGAATCTTCGGGTTCCATAAAATACTGGGAAATTCTTGAGTAGCTGCAGAATTGGTGGCTCCTCAAGAAGGGCTCAACTCAATGTGTAAGTAAGTAAGAGAGGCATTTGGAAACTTCATGAGTGATGCAGTCTCCAAAGGTAAAAATGGCTTCTTACAAAGTACGAAGGGCAATGATTTACAGCAGCCTGAAACAAAGAGGCAGCTGGCCATCTCTTTGGGAACTGAAAACGAGTCGGAGAAGTGAAGAAGAGGAAATGGATGCCCTAGCATTGCCTTTCCCATTAGGCATTACTCAGTTGCTTATTTGCTTTTCCAAGAAAATTGATTGAATGAATGCGTTATTAAGAACCCGTATCTGTCTGTACGTCTGCTCGTTACTATTTATCACATACGAAGTTTCTGGACGAATTTCAATGAAATTTGATATTGATGTGGGGAGGACGATACCACATTAAAAGCTGTCAATTAAATTTAATGTTGAAGAAAGCAGTCTTCTGGGATTTGGCACCGTGTATATGTGGTGTTAACCGACGTTTCGGAGGAACGTATCGCCT